GATATATTCAACAAACCTGTAACTAGCTAGATCGGGCTCATTCAAAAACTCTCTTAGAAGCATACCATCCGTCATGTATTTGATTACTGTCCTTTCGGAAGTGCAGTCTTCGAAACGTATCGAATAACCAACCTAAACAAAACCTCACACAGTTACATATCCATTATGCGACAGTAGATAAACTGTCATTCTGATAATCACCAAAGTCCCTGCCCAAAGCGCCTGATCAATGTAGGTATTTCTAATATGTGGCAAAAACATAAGATCTTTAAAAAAACTGAAACACCAGTGGCAGAAAACTCCTTCGCACTTTGCAAGAAAGTGAGGCAATCTTGTGACTTCCGATTTATTTGTCCCTCTTGCCAGCCTGTGATTCTGCACACTCTAACCCAATTTGCAACATTACAAAACAAAGCAATCTTAAATGAATTTTTTTTCTCCATTAGAATGGTTATTCTTAACTAATAAGCTTATGGATGGGCAAAATTATGCTCTAAAACAAAGCGCTACAGAAAAGCTACACGACGAAGATGAGATTACAGTCCCAAATGTCTTCCAAGAGAGATTTCCAGCGATGAAAGCTGTCTTTGATATTCTAAAGCTGTCTTTGATATTCTCACCTGTTTTTGATATTCTAAGGGAATATCAAACAACGAACGGAAAAAGGGAAAAACTGTGAAAGCTATGCATAATAAACTAGCTTGAACCACAATGTAACTAGCCTGAACCTTGAAATTGAGTTCGAAATTATCAACCAGTACAGAATGACAGCCAAGAGTTGATTTCGGCGTTATCGACTTTTTGACAACTATTTTAAATGAGTGTTTAGCGATGCTTACCTCAATACCCAATTTGACGCCCATCTCTTCTGCCACTCGAGCTGCAACACTCATTGCCGCCACTCGCCGCGGCTGCGTACATCCAACCTTCATTTTATTCGTGCAAAAACCCTAAAATAGAAGCAATAGAGGAAAAAAAAATTTTTTTTGTCAAATATAACGTCTACTTTCGAGAAATCGCAAACTGGTAGGTCTGCAACACTGGCGTGCAGCACCACCGCTTTCCTGCTACATGTGGATGGTTCACCAATGCCAAAAATAAACTGCCTGTTCATTTAGATCATAAAATGATACTGGCATATGTCAAAACTGCCATTAGCTTGCTTGCAGGCAACCCTCGAAGGACAAAACCACCGAAAACATTGTTCGGGAAGGGCTGCCGCTCTAGGTGCAATCATTTGGGCTACTCCCGGCCGCCTCCGTTTCTCATGGAAAGTGAATTAAGAAAGAAACTGAATTCGAGGATCTTACAAAATATAACAATTTTATCAACGGGCAAAGTCAAACCGCTTCGTAAAGATATTGAGGAAGCTGTGTGGTTTTCCCGGAGCCTGTTTCGCCTTCAATGATTAAAACTTGATGGTCGTGAACCGCTTGAATGAATTCATCGCGATACGCGTAAACCGGCAACGACTTCCTCGTTTCGGCCAAAGACATTTTCTTTTTCTGTGCGGCCGATA